AATAAGATTATGAGCTCGAGATTTCTACGAGATGATAGTTGATGAGGCCGTAGGCCGAATCAACTATCGACTCATAGAAATCGAGAGCAAATTAGTAGAATTTTGACTGAAATTTCCTTCAAATAACGATTCCAATTATTTCTGGTCTTAGTATTAAACTTCACGCTTTAGAAAATTTGTTTTGAACTTTATGAACTCTGAACTCACCCCTCTCGCCTTAGTACGAGTTTTTGTCCGCGTGCGTAACTTCAGGTGATTTTAACTAGCCAATCGTGGCTCAGAATGTGCTCGCGCGTACATTTGAACTTCGCCGTCGTAATTTTGCAGATTTTCATCTTTGTCGTTTTTTCTCGCCGTGTTTAAGATTTTAGGCCAGCCTTGCCGCTGTTTTTGGAGTTTTGAGTCTAGCTTCTTCACCTTTTTTAGCCATTGTGATCCGCCGTTTATTATATGTTCCGGATTACGTGGCTGGTTCATTAAATAGTTCGTTTATTTGGAGTCTGAGCCTACAACTCACTGAATACAATTCCCAACAGAATTCACGCGGACTGAATGAATTGTCAATTTGACATTTACAGTTGTGTACGCGCGCTTATCAGTTTCCTTAAAAAAATTCGAGCTTTTCTAATTTAAGAAACCGTAAATGCATTCCCTTTAGTTTTCTGAGGAATTTTGTTTATTCGTTTGTTTTTATATGTTCTTTCAAAACTTCGGAGAAACGAGGAAACGTTACATTTTTGTTGACCACACCAAGCCACCGTACACCAATGGCTGATAGTGTGCAATGGCTCGGCCAATCAGATTACAGCATTTGCATTAGTATACTAGTAGAATTCTAAATTACGAACACCCTCCCTATAGAGCGCCAGTTAAAAATGGAAACCTAGTTAATTTCTCTTAAAGTTTTCCCGGTAGAGATTTACCAGTATGGGTACTGTTAAAATAAGGCTTATGTTTTGGTGGTCAATTTTTGGATTAAGACCGTTACCATGGCAACAGCTCATCTACTGACAGGCAGATGTATTCCTCATTTTGACCTAAACTCCTTAATATTTATACTTTCCTTCGGTGAAATTTTTTCATACTTCGCCACATCATGGAAATAATATTGCCTGACATTTTGAACTGATTGGTAAAATGTCAAGGTTGTTCAGACGGTTTTTCCAATATTCTGTAATTTGTCATTATTCTAAATATATTAGATTAGCTCTGTCAGATTTTAACAAAAATAGGGTATTTTATTGGAATTGTATGTGGTTAGAACTGAGCCAAATTAAACAAAATTCACCAAAGGGAACGCGAGAAAATTAGCATTTATTTTGTCATGCTGACGTCACAAAAATCAGAAAAACACGCTTGGTTATTTAGTAAAGCGCGCACTCATGTGACGCCATGTATCGCGTGCGCACGCGCGAGAAAGCAAGAGTAAATTAGAGCTCTTTTACCGGTTATTTATAGAGCTTTTCTGTCATATTTTTTTTTGCCTTAGGCTTAAACACATGTTTGAACAGAGTTTGAAACTATTCCTACTTTATACCGAAGTGATTTAACGCCTTTCAAGTGCTGAAGTAGTTTTCGTTTCTTCTTAGCGTTACTCGCGTCATTTTTGCACGCGCGATTAATACTAACGTCTGGCAGGCAATGGAAGCGCGCGCTATTGAGTCTCAGAAAAACTATAGTGAGCCACCTTAACAAAGCGACGCTCGCTTCTCGGCGTTTTCAAAGCGTCTTTGAAGAGGGTTTAGATGAAGTTTAGTAGATTTATACTAAAACTTGGGCTGCACTTGAAACTGAAAACTACTCTTAATATTAGGCTTAAAAATACACAAATTTGTAGATTTTGCGCCGTCAACCTTTAGAGTCAATAAGACTACTTGCCCTTCTGTTTTACGAGCGGTAGTCAATTCGCCTACGCCTTGTTGACTATCACTTCCATAAATAAATACTGTTAGAAGAAGATAGTCAATATTTTTGCATTTTAGTTTGCAACTTTTTCACCGCAAAACAAAACAAAATAAAACAAAACAAACAAAACAAAACATTACCGGTGTAGATGGGAAAAGCTAGACCGCTTTCTATATCGATTTCAGCCAATCAAATTCATGAATTCGGCAGTTCCCAGTCCTTGTGAAACACAGCCATAAAATAATATAGATTAGAAAACAGTCCTAAGAAAATACGCGCGCTGATTGTTAAAAATCGTGTTTCTATTGAACAATTAGATTATGAACTCGAGATTTCTATCACGCATAGAAATTGAGAGCGAATAATCTAACTGTTTTAGTATAAATCTACTAGTCGTTCAAAACTTTATCTAAATCCTCTTCA